AGGGCAGGTGTGATGTCACAGGGATGATATAATATCATAGGGGAGATGTGATGTCACAGAGGTATATGATGTCATAGAGGTGCTGTGATGTCATTGGGAGATGTGATGTAATAGAGGAGATATGACATCACAGGGAGGTTACTGGGCCATACTGAGGGTTACTGGGTGCTCACTGGAGGATCACTGGGCCATCCTGGGGGGCAGTGGAAGGTCACTGGGACACACTGGCTGGTCACTGAAGGGGTCACTGGAAAGTCACTGGGCTATACTGGGGTCTAGGGATCCCCTTACCCGGATGTGGTACATTTCCCCCCCCCGGATTTAGGGGGGCATCCGTAGGACCCCTCCCCTTGGGGCTGGGGGACCCCCTGGACCCACTGCTGGGCTTTAGGGAGCCCCCAATCCCCCTCAGAGACCCTCAAAACCGTCTAAGACCCCGTAAACCCCCTAGAGACCCCAAAACTGCCTAAAAGGTCCCGCCAGCACCCCTAAACCTCCTCAGAGACCCCCAAAGCCCACCTGGCACCCCCCAAATCTCCTCAGAAACCAAAACCCCCTCAGAGACCCCCAAACCCCTTCAGGAACCTTCAACCACCCCCTGAGTCCCCTCAGGACACCGAACTCCCTCAGGGACCCCTCAAAACCTCCTCGGTTATCCCCGAACCCCCCCGCTAAACCCTCCCGATCCCCCCCGGGGGGACTCACAGCACTCAGAGCGAACCGCAGGCCCCGCCGCCAGCACCGATTCCCGGCTGCGCGCGCACCGCGTTCCGAGAACGCCGCCGCAGCCAATCAGCGCGCGGCCACGCCCCCGCAGCCCCGCCCCCGCCCCTGCCGCGTTGGCTGCCGGGAATCGGTGATGGCGGCGGGTCGGTCGGTGAGCTCTGAGTGCAGGCGGGGGGTGCGGGAGAGCGGGGTCTGGGGATCCCCTCGGGGGCTGCGGGGAGCGCGGCTGTGGGTGGAAAGGCTGGAGGGCTCGGGAGGGTTTGGCGCGAGGGGTTCGGAGGTTCCCGAGGGTCAGAGCTCAGGGCCTTGGAACCCTCTCGGGGGTCGCGGGGCCCGGAGGCCTCCCGAGAACCCGGAAAGGTGATTCGATTCCTGAGAAAGTCCCTCGGAAAAAAAAATTCGAAACCACCCAACCAAAAAAAGAACTCTAAAAAAAGGAAAAGTGAGAAAAAGGTGAAGGAAAAACTGCAAGGGCCAGGATGATTTTATTGCTTTCCTTCAGTTTTTCCTTGGTCTCCTCCTTCTCAGAATCTTTGCTCCCTTCCTTTACAGAAAGCTCTTCTGCTGTTCTGTGGTTTTGTGGTCCCTTAGGGGCTTTTAGAGGTCTCTGAGGAGGTTTTGGGGGGTCTCTGAGGAGCTTCGGTGCCGTGAAGGGACTTAGGGGGGAGGTTAAAGGTCCCTGAAGGGGTTTGGGAATCCCTGAGGAAGTTTTGGAGTTTCCAAGGGAATTGGGAGGTCCTTAGGGGCTTTGGGGGGGGGTGTCTTTGAAGCAGTTTTGTGGGTTTCTAGGGGAATTTCGGGAGTCCAAGACAGTTTTGAGGGTCCCTGAGGGGGTTTTTGAGGTCTCTGAAAGGGCTTGGGGGTCCCAGGTGGGTTTTGCAGGTCACTGAGAGGGTTTAGGGGGTCCTGGGGGTGGATGAGGTCTCTGAGGGGATTTGGGATTTGAGGAGGTTTTGATGGGTGCAGAGGTGGATTTCTGAGGGGGTTTCTGGGGTTTCGCCTGGATTTTGGGGGGTCTCCATGTCAGTTCTGTCTGGCCATGGCCAACTAAAACTCCTATGAGGCCATTTCCCATCCCACCACAACACCTCTGCCAGCCCAGTGGACCAACCTCAGGGAAAGGGGATCCCAATTCCCCCCTCGAACCCCAGAGACCCCCAAAACTCAGCACACCGAGACCCCAAAGGAAGGGGGACCTGGGTGTCCCCTAGAGCCCAGCAGTGGGGTTCAGGGGATCTCCCAGCCCTCAGGGGAGGGGTCCTGGGGGTACCCCCAAAAGTCCAGGGGGGAGATGTAGCAGAACCGACTAAGGGGATCCCAGTGCCCCCAGTATATCCCAGTGACCTCCCAGTGACCCTCAGTATGGCCCAGTAACCCCCTCAGTATGGCCAGTGTGTCCCAGTGACCTCCCACTGCCCCCCAGGATGGCCCAGTGATCCTACAGTGAGCACCCAGTAACCCCCTAGCATGGCCCAGTAACTTCTGAGTGTCTCCCTGTGTGTCCTGGTAATCCCCCAGTAACTCCCCAGTCCCTCCCAGTGCCCCCTGGTTCCCCCCAGTGTGTCCCAGTATCCCCCAGTAATCACCCAGTACCCCACAAAGCCCCCCAGTTTTCCCCAATGTGTCCCCAGATGCCCTTGACCTTTCTGTGACTGTGGGTAGGGGAGGTGGTTGTGGTCAGAGGGTCCAGGGGGGGCTCCTGGGGTGAGATGGAGGGTTGGGGACATCAGGGATGGGGTTTGGGGACAGTGGGGAGGGGTTTGAGAACAGTGGAATTGGGGGTGTCCAGGGGGGAATTGGGGCCTGGGGACATTGGAGACACCAAGGGGGTCTCGGGGTGTCAAAGGGGGAACTGGGGACACCAAGAAGGTCTCGGGGACACTGGGGGGGGGGGCTCAGGACTCACCTGCTCTTGGTGCAGCCCCTCCTCTCCCCCACAGGCCTTTTTAAACCCCCCAAAATGTCCCTTAACCTCCATTTTTCCTTTAATCTCCTCCCTCCCATAGATCCCTTTGATGCCCCAATGCCCCCAAAACCCTTTTTAACTCCCCCAAATACACCTAAAGACTCCAAACCCCCCCAAATCCCCATCCAACATCCCCCAGATCCCTTCAAATCTCCCCCAGCCCCCCCCTCAGACCCCCCTCAAAGAGGGATCACCCGGCACCCTAGGACAGGAACACAGTGGGCTGTACTGGGGGCACTGGGCTGTACTGGGAGGGCACTGGGGGGGGGCTCAGGTGTTCCATGACAACGTGGCCCAGCTCCAGGAGAGATCTGGGGAGCAGTGAGGAGGTACTGGTCTGTCCTGGTCTGTGCTGGTCTGTCCTGGTTTGTACCCCCAATCCCCAAAGCCCCTCCCCAGCTCCCCCAGGACTCTCCTGGACCCCAAAGTCCCCCAGGCCCCTTCAGGCCCCTGACTTGGTCCTGCTGCCCCTTGAGCATCTCCAGCTCCTGCAGAACCAGGCATTTCTTTGCTCCCCACAGGGTCCTTCCCACACCCAGAATGGAATCTGGAGGCAGCAGGATGTGCACAGTGCTCCCATTTCCTACAGTGCAAAGGGGCTGCAGGGAATGATTCCCCTGCTCTTGCAAATCTGCCAAAACCTGCAGGGCACAGAAGGGGGAGCTTCAGGAATTTGCTGGCCTTGGGAGTGGAGCTCACAGGGTATTGAGAGGAACATATCCCTCAAATACAATCTCTGTGCATACACAATATCTGTCTGGACAGACAGATAAAGCAATAACCAGATATATTCTGTATCATGTATATGGCACATATTCTATAGAATCCATCCTTAGCTATTTTATGATAGATCTATAAGATATTACACATAATAAGCAGTAATAAAACAAGTGTCCTCCTTAGGGACACACACTTCAGAAGGGAACATGCACTTGACCCCCCTCTCTCTTCAGCTTCGAGCCACCCGGTGCCACAGAGGGGGACAGAGCTCCTGTGGAACATTCTATTCCACTGACACAGAGCAAGGAATAAACCCAAACTATTGCCTGGGTTTGTTCCCTGGGGGTCTCTGGAGCAGCAAGCACAGCCCCACACTGACTGCTCTGGGCTGTGCAGGCATTTGTGGTTCTGCCTGTCTCACACACACACACAAAAGTCTGCAGGTGTAGTGCTGCCCTCAGGAACCCCCCCCAACCTTGATGCAGCTAAAGCCATGGAATCTGTCTTTGTTTCCCTTGGGTTCAGGGTCAGGCTGTGCCTGTGTCCAGCCCAAAGGCTCAGAAAAGCATTTCTCCTGTCCCACTGCAATCTGCTGCTGCAGACAGGACCCAGGCACTGGTGGCACTGGGAGTGAACAGCAGAGTGTTTCCAGGGGCTCTCTGAAGGAACACAAGTGTCCAAAGAAACCAGCACAAGTGTCCACAGAAGTCCCAGTCCTTCATCCCTGAATGAGCTCATGCAGCCCAGGAAAAACTGTCTAAGTTTTATTTGCATGGAAGGAGGTTTTTCCTACTTTAACGTGGGTTGAGTTCCAAACCAGTTTCTTCATTTCCTCCTCCCGATTTCCCTGAAGGACACTGACAGGGGCCATGGACACTGACCGGGATCACATTTTGTCCCTTGGCCATACAGCTCCTGCTGTTTGGCAGCACAGGAGAGGTTAATTAGAGCCCAGGCTCCAGTGCCAGGGCGCGCCTTGAAGACGAGCTTGAAATCAAACGACTTTCCTGCTGGAGGGTTAAATTCAGTCGTCATCACCTTTTTTTGGGCTCAATCTCCATATTTTGGAGTATTTTTTTGCTCAGTGTCAACTTTTTGCAGTTTGGGTAGATGAGGGTCTTCTTGCTATTTCTGAGAGGGTTTTTGCCTGAATCTCGTTGGTTTGGGCTTTTCTGTGCTGAATCTTGGTGTTTTGGAGGTTTTTTTGGTCACAGGATACGCAGTGAGTTCTAGAGATGGACTTGGGCAGGAGGAACCCCCAAGCCAACGTGCTCAGCCCTTGTTTTCCCCCCCATCAGGATTTGTCCTTCCCAAAGCTTGGTCGGATGGAGGAGGAGGCTGCGAGGAAGAGGAAGATGCCTTGGTCCCCCCAGGCAGGTGAGGAGGAAGTCAGTGTCCCTTTGGGCGGGTGTTGTGCTGGCTCTGTCAGCCGAGCATGGCCCCGGCTGCAGGACAACCCCGCTGGCGCCGCCGTCCTGCCGGGGCCGGAGTTGGGGGGATGTCCTTGGCCTTCCCTGTGGGCCGGAGGCAAATCCCCTGCCTGTCCTTCTTGCTTCCTGCCCCAGGCCCCGAGGTGAGGACGGAGAGCCCGGAGGACAAATCCCCCCGTGAGACCCTGGTGGGAGAGGCCGTTTTGAAGGGCTCCCCGGCGCAGGAAGGCAGCGGGGAGGAAAAGGGCCGGAGATCCCCCCGCAGGAGGGGCTCCAAAGCCATCCCAGGGTGCTCTGAGGAGGAAAGACCCAGCCTGTGCCGGGAAGGTGGCCGGGGCTTGAGGCGGAGCTCCGACTTGGTGGTCCCTGAGCAGCCTCCCAGCACGGAGAAGCTTTTCAGGTGCTTGGAATGTGGGAAGAGCTTCAGGAAGAGCTCCATTCTCATCCGACACCAGCACATCCACACTGGAGAACGGCCCTACACGTGTGGGGAATGTGGGAAGAGCTTCAACCAGAGCTCCCACCTCATCAAACACCACCGCATTCACACTGGGGAACGGCCTTACATGTGTAATGATTGTGGGAAGAGCTTCAGTGTCAACTCCAACCTGATCCAACACCAGTGCATCCACAGCGGGGAACGGCCCTACAAGTGTTGGGAATGTGGGAAGACCTTCAACAACAGCTCCAGCCTCCGCACCCACCAGCTCATCCACACCGGGGAACGGCCCTACAAGTGCTTGGAATGTGAGAAAAGGTTTCCGACCAGCTCAGATCTCCTCGTGCACCAGCGGACGCACACGGATGAGAGGCCCTTCCGCTGCACCGACTGCGGGAAGGGCTTCAAGCACAACTCCACCCTCATCATCCACCAGCGCATCCACACTGGAGAGAGGCCGTACAAGTGTGGGGAGTGTGGGAAGAGCTTCACCCACAGCTCTGCCTTGACCAGACACCAACGGACCCACCGGTAAGGGAAGCCCTTCCAGTGCCCCGACTGCAGGAAGAGCTTCAGACGCTGCTTCCACCCCGAATGAAGCCCCTGATGGTGAGGCAACCCCTGGAGTCCAGTGACAGTCAGTCCATCCCTTTCGACCACAAAGGACCAGTCCCCTTTCAAGGGGGCAGGTTCTTCCAACAGAACCCTTCTTGGGGGTGTGTGGAGATTCCTGCCTTAGCTGGGGACCCCCCAAGGTCACTGCTGGAGGTTGAGAGCAGAGATCTCCCCACCAGCATTGGTCTGGGGGAGTTCCATCCATCTCTAATTAAGAATTATTGCTTTTGTACCAGCTTCAGTGGAATTGCTTCAACAATTGCTTTAGTGTAGAGCACTGTCCTATCTTATCCTGTACTCCTGGTAGTTTTAGTGTTCTATTGTGCAGTAAATAATTGTGATGAAGATCTTTTGTTTGATCATTTGTAACCCTAAATAAATTCCTTTCTATCAATAGATCTGATTTACCATCATTAAAGCTGGAGGACAAAAGTGGTTCAGTCACACCTCTGTAATTCCTCTGAACTGAAAGTGTTGGCATAAGCCAAGGCTGAGATTGGATCCAGCAGCCCCCAGCACCCCACAGGAAGTTGGGAGCTCAGGGGGCCATCCCCCTTTGCCAACCCCTCTGTACCCAAAGACCCTCATGGGACTCTCAGACCCAGAAGACCACCCTCCCTTTTCCACCTTTCTCCCTGTTCCTCCCACTTTCCCATTGTCCCCTCAATCCCCAATTTCTCCCTGAACAGTTTTGGGGTCCTAAACTTCACTTTTTGCCCCCTCTCCTGTGGCTGCTGAAGGAGAAAATGAGGCTGCACACACAGAGTTCCATTTCAGTACTTGTCCACCCATCTTTCCGGTGTCCCCCTTTCATTGGGGTTCTTTTGGAAACAGCGCCTGGGCTTTGTCTTTTAGTCCACCGGAATTCCCAGCATGGCCCCAAAGCAGTGCCCTGATCCCACACATTCCCCTTACCTCATGTGCTGCCTGTGTTCAGCCACCAGGGAGAAACACAGGCTACCATGCAGAGCGTTCCAAGTGGTTTCCACTTTGGCAAACAGCACTCTCTGGATGGAAAACACCAGTCAAGGCCAAAACACTCCTTTTGGATCCTGATTAACTGAATGCAGCTGCTGCTGCCTTAACTTGTTCTCACAAAACTTCTCAGGGTTCCTTTGCTTCCAGGAGGCCCCACATGTCCCAATGGCCCCTGGATTCCATGAGCTTCCACAGTCTCCAAAGGTTCCTTTAGTTCCATGAGGCCCTGCAGTCCCAAAATGCTCTTTGGATTCTCGGAGATTTCCCATTGTCCCGGGGTCCCTTGTGCTTCAGAAGGAGCTGCAGTGGGACAGTGGCCCCTTGGTTCCGTGAGCTCTGCAGTGTTCCAGGAATCCTTGGGTTCCAGGAGAGCCTGCAGTTTCACAAGGACCACTGGAATGCAGGTGGTTCTGCAGGGTCCCAATGGCCCCTGGATTCTGGGAGGTTCAGAAATATCTCCGGGCTCCCTTGGTTCCAGGAGGACACTCATGTCAGCAGGAACCCTTGATTCCACGAGATTTGACAGCGTCCCAGAATTCCTTTGATTTCAAGAGGCCCTGGATTGTCCCAATGGACTCCTGATTCCATCAGCCCCCTCAATGTCACAATGGTCCCTTGGTTCCAGGAGTTTCCACAGCATCTCAGAGTTCCTTTTGTTCCATGGGGACCTGCAGTGTCACAATGGGCCCTGAATTCCAGGAGTTTTCTCAGGGTGACAGTGCTGCCTTTAACCAGAACTATAAAAAGCAAAAACAATTAGAAGTTCCCTGATAATCGTGGGCTGATTCTGACAAGTGAGGCACAAATTACCCACTGCCCAGCAAAAACCAGTGGGACCAGCCAGTGGTCCCTGCCCTGGCAGCCCAGTTTCCCCAGTCTCATCTCAAAATGACCAGTTACACTGAAGCAAAGAGCACTGGAACCAGTGCAACAAGCCCCAGTCTGACTTTCACACCTGCCCACGTGTCCTGTTTTCTGCTGCTCTACAGACTTCCTTGTTTAAAATACAATGGAAAAACGAACAGTTTTTGGGGTTGTTTTGGTTTTGGGCTTGGGTGGTTTTTTTCCCCCCACTGTTCTCATTAACCTCATTTCAAATCTATTTTGGTGTTTGAAGATGAATTAAAATTTTGAATGATTTTTAATGTTAATGCCTTGACCAAAGTATCAAAACATGAAAAATACAAAAAAACCCACACCACAAAGCTGTCCATTTTTGTCACAATCAAACACTCAGAAGTACTAACATAAGCGCAGTGAAAACCCATGAATAAGACCATTAAAATAATTTTAATATTTACATATTAATATATTTTTACTAAGCTTAACATAAGGAAATTTAATTCCTGACATCAACTTTCCCCACCTCCCGAAAAGGTAATTTAGTTACATCTTAGTCACCCTTGAAAGGCTCTTTCCAGTTGGGTTGGCCTCTGCCTTAGACACTTGAGATCTGCCAAAACCAATTTAAGGGCAAATTTCCCCACCAGGTTCAACTGCATTGGTTGTACCACAAACTTTGCAAGTAACCCCACAACTTTCATCTTAAACTCTTCTCTCAACGTTGTAAAATAATTAGCAGTAAACAGACCTGATAATGTGTTATAATTAAGAATTTCTTGTTCTCAGAGTTATTCATACATCAAAAAGATGCCACAGAACGACCAAAATATTAATAGCAACTTCTACACTTTGGAAATCTCCATTTGGTTTTTAAAGATTTCACAGTGGTTGTTTCCTTAGGAATTAAGACACATTTTACTAACAAGTTTCAATAAAGTTACAAGAACATCTTTCTCCACTAAGACACATGCAGTGATTCTAACCTGAGGTAGGCACTGAAAAGCCCAATTTTTTTCTTAGCTGTCCCGAGTCTTTCATTCCTTCTGCCACATCAATTAGGCATCAGCCCATTTTTCAAGCTGCTGTTCTCTACCAGCTCCTGCTTTGGTTTCCAAGCCCAGTATTTTGGCCACGATAAAATCAGGGACCTGGGCAGTCCTGTCAGAATGACAAAGAGTA